CTATAGGTTAACTCAGTGTTTCAACTTTTTGTTTTCACCCTTTTCCCAAGCAACTAGCTGTACCATCTGACATTTCTGCTGGCCATTAATGTATTAGGGCTCCGAATTCTCAACATCCTTTCTAATACTTGTAATTAGTTGTCTTTTTGAAAAATGATATGAAGTGTGAGGTGGTATCTCATTGTGGTTTTGATTTGCATTTTCCAGATAACTACTAATGTTGAGCATCTTTTCATGTGCCTGTTGCCATTTACATATCTTCTTTGGAGAACTGTCCACTCAATTCCTTTGACCATTTTTAGTTGGATTATTTGTCTTTTTGTTGTTGAATTGTCAGAGGTCTTTATATATTCTGGATTCTAGTCCCTTATCAGATATATGACTTATAGATATTTTCTCCTGTTCTGTGGGTTATCTTTTCGCTTTATAGTTTTATCTCATATATTTAGGTGTGTGATCCATTTGGAGTGATTTTTTGTGTAGGCTATGAGTAGGTGCTGACGCTGTACGCGGAACGTCCGATTCCAGGGCCCCGAGAGTGAAGAAGAAAAGGGAGAAGAAGTGGGGACGGCAGGCAAGCAAAGCAGCAGATCCATTACTCACTGACCACTGCTTCCTGAGGCCCCAAGAAACACAGCCAGTCCCCCAGCAGGTGTGTTCTCAGTCACGGGGAGTGTCTCAGAATACATGGTGTATGCTGAAACCATGTCTCAGGGAGGTACACAAGAAGAAGGAAGAAGAGAGTTATTTTCCCGCTTGGCTCTTTCCTATTATTATCTCCTGTTGGGCCCCACAAAGCTTTAAATCCTGTATAGTTCTAGACTGCTCAGGTCATTCGTGGCTGCTCAGGACACCAGGTCTTATGCCCTGTGGTGTGTGGCTTTTCATCCAAATCTGGAATTGATGGCAAAACCCAGAGATTCAAGTATGCATCTCCTTAGCCTGGCTGCCTGGTGGTGGTAGCCAGTGGACACGGGGGTTGGAGGGGCAGTGTTTCCGAGCAAGTGGTGGCTTGGCCCTCAGTGGCAGAAACACTCAGGTCAAGCAGAGCCGGCTGTGGTGGGGCCTCAGGTTGGGACGGCAGCCGAGCGTCTCGGACACCGGACAGCGGCCAGCAGGATTTTTTTAAACAGCCTACGTGCCCTCAGGATTTTTTAAAATTGCTATTTCCTAACTGTAAGGTAAAGAAGTTTTAGAAAAGGAAAATAATGATAATAAAGTAATATGCGCTTCAATTTGGAGATGCTGGGGTACAACCACACTAAAAGATAAAATAACTCAGATTCAGTGTGAATGAGGCACATATAAAAGTAGTCCGGTTCTTTTTTGACGACGCGAGTCCCATGTGCACACTGGCTACGGGAGACTTGTTTTGATAAAATGTTTTATAAAGTGCCCCGAACAAACCAAAAACACAGTCTTCCTTCCATATACGTGGTAGTTGTATACCTAGAAAATACAGAATATCTTGAATCAGTCAAAAAATGTTTTCATATGTAAAATGTAGTCAGGGTCTAGGCTCAGATAATTATGGGTTTCATCTGCACGAACAACTCAGAGGACAAAACAGTTGTGTGGGAAACGGTCCCATTGGATTTGGGGGACTGTCCTCCCATTGCAGGAAGTCTACCAGCTGTGGCTCTTGTTCAGTAAATACTAAGTGTGCCCCCACCCCCCAGCATAGTGGTGACAAAACAACACTAGCTCAGATTTCCAAAATGTCCTGGCAGGTGCCGCTCTTCCTGGAACTACTTTTTAAACAACACATGGAATACATATCTATGTATCTGTGTTTTTATCTGCATTTTGCAGAAGTTGCATTTAAGAACTTCGTCCACAGTAGTACTTAGAGATGGATCATTGTAACATTGCAGAATCTAGTGCATCTGTGTGCTGGGATTTATTTAGCTATTGATGGTCTTATTGACCTTTTTAGCTTCTTGCTGCAACTAATGCTGCCAATATGTTCCTTATATATGTTAGTCTTTGTGCACTTTTATCTCTAGAATAAATTCTTAGAGTCAAAATGTACATGTATTTTAAAATTTTTATAGATATTGCCAGATTACCCTCCAAATCATTGCCAAATGTATACCTACCGATGGCTGTGTAAGTAAATGCCAGTTTTCCCATCACTCTCCACCACTAGGTATTACGGAGAGTTTCAATCTTGGCCAATTGGTTCTTTAAAGATAAAAAGAAGGAATTTTAGGTGTCCTATTTAAAGCCATTTTCAGATCATTTTCTATTTCCTAATAGCTCCCAGCCTCGATAGGTCTTTTTATTCTATAGGACATTCATGTGGAAAAGAGATCGGACTTCCAGTGTTTTCTAGGGTAGAACAGGGTCATGACTGAAAGGCAGACCTAAGTTTGGGCTCTAATATCAGAACTCTGCAACAACTCCCACCATCCAGCAGTGGAAGGACCTGCCTTGGGAGAGAAGGAGCTCCCACCCCATCGCGGAAAACTTTTGATTTCAGGCAGAATGAACAACTGTAAGGGATGCTCAGGAAGAGATGCCTGAGTTCAATGGAAACACATACAAGGTCGGCATTTCCCCAAATGGAATACTTGGACCAGTAGTGTATGCAGGATGACTCTAGGTGGTACAGAATGTTTTAAACATTTAATTGGTGTATATTCATTTTTATGGATATACTGCGTTCCTATATTACTAGCAAATCATATACCCTAAGATCCTAAGGTAGTATTGCTAAAATTACAAATAAACTTCGAGCACTAATGGGTTGATGACCTCTGAAGTCTCTTCAGAAGTGAGATTACAGTTCTAAATGTAATCCCAATTTTCAAATAGTAAAAAGACTTCTTAGCCGTAGACTGACATTAATTATAAGCAATTGAAACACAAACCAAGTTGTAGTACTACAGAGAACTCGAGTATTTGGAGCTTGGTGTACAGGTCAAATCCCATGAAAACTTAGTTAAAATGAGAGCCAAGATCCCTAAGGCCCAGATGCAGACCTGAAATTAGACGCAAACCCTCCCCACACGCACCAAATTTTCTAGTGGCATCCCCTTTACCCATTAGCACCTTCCAGAGCCAGTCCTGGAGGAAGAGAGTAGCAAGTTGTGTTTTCACACTCCCTCTGTGGCTGTCATGAAACCACCAGCCAGTCCACCATATTCAGAGGTGAATATTTATTTAATTCATATATAAATTTTACATGATATCCATGGTGCTATAAACATAGGCACATTTTTTTAACTCAACGTACATTCAAATATTACTCCCTCACCCCAGTCCACTCCAATCCCCTCAAGATGGAATACCTAATATTTGTAAAAGAAAGGCTCTGCTCGTTAATTTCAGGCGAATGCATTTTTCAGCATTTTAATTACATCAATTGAAAAAATTAATTAAACGCCTCTACCTGGGTAAAGTTTTTAAGAGGTTGATGGTTTTTCTACTTAGTTCAAGTCAGAAAAGAGATTGCTAACTGTATTCCTATTGGCCTTCTTTAAATCCCTGGATGCTTAAGGCTCACCTCATCTACCAGCAAATGGGTGGCTTCCCACTAAGTACAGATGAAACATCAGCCATTTGTATTGATTTGGCCTTAAAGGGACAAACGTGAATTTAATAATTCATTGATTCAAATAAGAAACGGATTAAGCACAGAGCAGACTGGACAAAAACAAATTCCCCAAAATGAATCCATTGATTCACTGTACCCAGCCATGATCCAGACGTCTGTGTGTCATTCACAACATTCATAACACATATGAAGACAAGATTAAAATCTACAGTGTAAAATCATTATGTAATTTCCTCAATTCAGAACAAGGAAAAATGAGTATTTGAAATTGATTCATCATAGCCACTCTGATATGATACACTTAACTTTGAAGGAAAAAACAAGGATTCATATACACAATTCTCTTAGTAAAATTGTCTACTTCTTGCTAATACATTTTAATTCAGAAAATGCATTAATTTATTCAAATGTATTTTTTCTAAAATATAAATATTTAAATTAAGTTTTTATAAATGCAGAGAAAGTAATTTGTTGACCCCACCCATTTATTAATCAGTCTAAAACGTAAGTGATGAAGAAATACTTGTAATTATCACTTTAATTTTTCTATAAATATAGAATAGGATCTTTGCAATTTAATTATAAGTAATTAACTCATACTTCATGTAGTACTGAGCACCTTAAATTACATATTGTTGAACTGAACTATTGGCATTATTATATGTATTTTAATGTTATTTACAATGCATAATTCTCTTATATAACAACATTCCAGTGACTTCGAAAATATGTAATGAAAGAGTGCAGTATAATTTATAAATGCATCAAAGCTTTCCTATAATATTCAGGGTGGGATTTCACTCTTCAGCATTTTAAAATGGGAAACCAAAAAAAAGAAACAAAAACAAAATCAGTGACCTAAAGCTGTGTTTTCCCAAAGTGTTAAGGCTCACCTCATCTACCAGCAAATGGGTGGCTTTTATTTAATTTTAATTTATTTTATTTTATTACTTTATTTTTTATTTTATTTTAAAGTAATCTCTACACCCAACATGGGGCTTGAACTCGAGACTCCTGAGATCAAGAGTCGCATGCTCTACCGACCGAGCCAGCCAAGCACCCCTGTTTTTGTTTTTTTAAAACATTTGCTTCACAAAATGCTCTGTCAGAAAGGTGCTCAAGGGATACCCCCTTGAAGAATCACAATGTTTACACGAAAGTCTTTGAGGAGGCCCACGATCATGAAATCCGTTTCTTACCTCCATATTTAACACATTTTTGATCATCAAACCTCTTTCTCACCGCTCCCCCCAAAACACCCCTCAGTCAATGCCCTTTGGAACTAGTGTTACATGATACATACTTTGGACGCTGCTTTGTAACTCAATAAACATGTGTCTCAGTGGGCAAAATTACATCCCTTTAAAACAGTTTCACTTTTAAAAGCTCTTTGCATAGGTATTTGCTGAAGGACAATTCTGAAAAAAACACACAGATCAAATCCAGAGCATTTGTTTACGTAAACTACAGGGTAAAGAAGGGTTACAAATGCTTACGTAAACTCTAGAGCTAATTTTTAAGGTTCCAGGAAGGTGACTCCAAAATCAAAAAATATAGGTGTCTTTTTGGTGAATTTGTATTGAAAGGTAAAAATAAAAGCATTAAATCAGTAATACGCTCTATGTTGTCTAAAAATATTCTTGTAGAAAAATAATCAGGTCGTTGTATTATTTCCCTGGAATGCCTAAGAGCTGTGGATACTGTCAGAATTATATGAGGCTGCTCTAGGACTGGTTTGAAAATGCATGCATACAAGCACAGGCAGAAACAAGGGTCAATAAATTGCTCAGTACTTCCACTGAAAACCACGGATTGGGGATAATTAGTTAACCACATGTAAGTTGTTTATATATATGTTATATATATGAGATATATATGTTACATATACATCTCAAATGACAATCTTTTTAAAAAAATATCCATAATTTGCTTTCTATAAGTAAAGCTATCAGTCTTGGCTCTAAGATAGCACACCTTGGTGTGAGTGCAGTCCCCAGATTAATCGTCTTTCAAGCACACTACTCTTCTGCACCGTGAAGCTTTGCAATATAAACAGTCTACTTTGGCTCAGATTCCACCAGCTTCCAGCTCAGATCAGTATCTGATGCTTTATTTAATTCCTGCTCAGCATATGCTAATGAGAATACTTCAGGATCACTCTACATCATTGAAAGATAATTCATTAAGAAGAGAATTACAGCTGCTTCATACTTAAAATAAAAGGTGGGTTTCCATTTGAAGCACTTGTCTTTTCTTACCAGCAGAAGTCAACTCAATTAGAAGTAGGCAATAAATCACAATAAGACAAAGGATCATTGTTACTGGGGGCGAGAGAGGTGAAAATGTCCATTCCTCAACTATTCAGTTCTTGCTTACCTGGGTGAACCAGTTGCCTAGAAACTGGTATGATTAAGATCTGCGCGTGCTGTTCTCATGTTCGTGATGTCCCTGCTTGTCATTATTTCAAAGCTAGGCTGTGTGTATTTATTTCCATTTGCCCTCACCTCTTTACCCTTCTACTGTTCTAAAAAGCCCGCTTTCTTTCTGATATTTCTCATGGTGTTTTCTTGGGGGCCCCCCTTGTCATCAGTGAAGCTGACAGAGAAGTCAGGCAGGTGAGAGGACTTGGGGATCCAAAGCTGACCGTGGCATGCCACAAATGGTGTGCCGCTCATAGTGTCTGATGTCACCAGCCCTCCTTTTCTCTAAGGCAAGTCACCCCTCTGCTCTCTGTTCAGGCCACCAAGCCCAGTCTTGTGATCTTCGCCGACAGGAAGGAGTGAATGATGAAAACAATCGGCTTGGGGCAGGAATGAAGGTCTAGTTGCTGAAATTTCAAAAGAAGAGAGCGTGAGTGATTTTAAATTGATGCTTGATGCAGAAGAGCGATTTACACATCAAACGGATCTGTGCACTTCCTGCTTTTAAGTGTTAACTGGAGCAATTACGGTTTTAAATCCTTGCCCTTCAATGAGATTTAGAAAAATAACTCTGAACTTATTTCTTACATCTATCTTTGTTTCCGAAATAGGTTCTGTGAAATTTATATATATCAGTACCACAAATATTTTTTTTAAGATTTTTATTTATTTATTTGTCAGAGAGAGAGAGAGCACAAGCAGGGGGAGCAGCAGAGGGAGAGGGAGAAGCAGGCTCCTCACCGAGCAGGGAGCCCGATGTGGGACTCGGTCCCAGGACCCTGGGATCATGACCTGAGCGGAAGGCAGACGCTTAACGACTGAGCCACCCAGGCGCCCCGTGAGCCCCGGTTTTAATACTTTAAAAAAAAAAAAAAAAAACACTTTTGAGATACATAATCTTGGACAAGTCACTTAAAATTTTCCCCAGTCCTACCAAATTCACAGGGTAACTAGAGTATTAAATGAGACACTGTGTGTGAAAACTCAGAATGGGGAAGCCATGCTGCTCAGCAGCTGTGTCCCACTATCCTATGCCCCTGGATTGCTGTAAGCAGGGGCGGCGCCTGTTAAGGCCCCTGCTAAAGTCTTACCCTTCTCAGCGTGTTCCTACGTGTGGCCCAGCACATGACCAGAGAGTAAGAGTCAGGTGGAATTTTTATCACCTAAGTCAGGAACACTGGAGGAGTTGTTCCCAATTCTCTTCTGCTGATGACACTGTTGGGGAGCAACCACCTGGACGTATAATAACATCTAGCAAAGTTAGGGTTGTATTTATCATGAATCGGGCACTGTGCTAAATATTTCCTCTACACCGTCTTAATTCTCACAAAACCCCTGTGAGCTTATTGCCATTATCTGCATGTTTTATATGGAAAACTAAGATTTGAAGAAGTTCTAAAACTTTCTGAGATCACAGATCTTACAGGGGAGAATAAGTATGGCCACACTTAAGACAGAACCACAGTATTCAGTCTCACTAACACAGAATGCAACTTTTGGAAGGAACCTACTTCAGTCACTGTATTTTATGGACAGAGAGACTCAGATCCAGAGACATAAAGGATTTGCCCAAGACAACTGGTGAGTTAGTTAGAGATGCAGAAAGAAAACACGGGTCTCTTGACCCTCAATTTATTCCATTTCCTATAGCCCATGTCTGCTCCCTTCCCCAGGAAGGGAGAGGAAAGGCCTGATGGTGCTGCCTGCTGGGGTTGCAGAACTAGGCCTGGGGAAGCCGTGCGTGACTTTGCACTTCTCAGCCAAACGGACTGGCAGCAAAACTCAGTCCTGCCTACATCTTCCAAGTCAGGTTGTAATTACAGGCTTCAGAAAGGCTGAAATTTAGACATAAGTGATTTTCCCCACAGGCAAAAATAGCCTTGATTTTTCAAGCTAAGGCTAAGGCCAAGAGCCTTTTGTCTTTTAGGTTTTGGTTTGGTTTTGGTTTTGTTTTGTTTTGTTTTTTTGGCTAGGGAGCAGTCAGTCACCTTTAGGAAAGAGCACTCAGTCGAATGATTGATAGAGCAGCAACTGAACTATAAGCGTTCTTAGTAAAATGGACTTTCAAATCACTTGTTTGTTTCCAAACTTCTGCTTCAGGCTGAACTTAACTCATTGCAACACACAACGCTGGTGTGACGTCATCCACAGCAGCCGTGCTCCGAAATGCAGGCCTTATGCTCTCAAGTGTGGTCTCGGCTCTCCCCTCTGTCAGCCCCTGCTCCGTCCCCCTGAATGGTTTCCAGAGCAGTACCAGTCCAGTCCCCCGGGAGAAATCGCTGAACGGGCTGACGGCAGAGGGAGGGATGGAGGAAGGCCAGAAGCTTCACTGAAATTACTGGAGCTTTAAAATTGAGGTTTACCTGGGCATTTTATCTATTCCCCATCCCTGTTATCAAGCGGAAGTCAATGAATATTTGTTGACTAACCTAGTGACTTAGGAAGGACCTAAAGAGAGCCTAGTTATTACAGAATCAAGGTCCTCTTAAAAGTTCGGCATTTGACAGCTTAAACGAGATGCTAGGTCTTCCTGAGAATGTCAATTAACTATACTTGCTAGAAAGAACAGGCAGTTCTCACCCTTCCATGGAGCTGAAGAAATACACCTATTTATTTATTTATTTAAACTCTACAATCTGTTTCTTTCTTTTTTTTTTTAAGAGTTTATTTATTTATTTAATTGACACAGAGAGAGAGAGAGAGAAAGAGTGCTCAAGAAGGGAGCGGCAGGCAGAGGGAGCGGGAGAGGGAGAAGCAGGCTTCCCGCGGAGCAGGGAGCCCGATGCGGGGCTCGATCCCAGGACCCTGGGATCATGACCTGAGCCGAAGGCAGACGCCTAACCGACGGAGCCACCCAGGTGCCCCACACTTTTTTATTTATTTATTTATTTTAAATATTTTATTTATTTATTTGAGAGAGAGAATGAGAGACAGAGAGCACGAGAGGGATGAGGGTCAGAGGGAGAAGCAGACTCCCCGCTCAGCAGGGAGCCCGATGTGGGACTCGACCCCGGGACTCCAGGATCATGACCTGAGCCGAAGGCAGACGCTTAACCAACTGAGCCACCCAGTCACCGGACACTTTTTTATTTAAATAGACAGTAACGATCACAGGAAGTCATGAATTTAAACACACTGGCTATTTGCATATTATTGATAGAAGTATAAAAGTTACTTTAACTGACAAATTTGCTAATTTTGTTAGACATTATTTGCCGTTAGCCCAAAACTTCTGGGCTCTTGTCTGGCCTTCTCTCCACGTGGGTGTTGCTGACCAAGTTTCTCTTCGTTTCCTGCTGCCCCTTCTACTCCGCCCCTGGTCCCGACCATCCACCTCTGTGTTCTCCACGTGTTGTACTCCTCGGAGACCCCTCCCACCTGGCTGGCCCTGCTCAGCTTACATCCTTACACCCCCGAGGCTAGATTAGATGTTTGATACTTTTTTAAAAATGAATGGTGCAGGGCGCCTGGGTGGCTCAGTCGGTAAGCGGCTGCCTTCAGCTCAGGTCATGGTCCCAGGGTCCTGGGATCGAGCCCGACATCAGGCTCCCTGCTCAGCGGGAAGCCTGCTTCTCCCTCTCCCACTCCCACTGCTTGTGCTCCCTCTCTCACTGTGTCTTTCTCTGTCAAATAAATAAAATCTTAAAAAAAAAAAAAAATGAATGGTGCAGGGGCACCTGGGTGACTCGGTAGGTTAAGCATCTGCCTTCGGCTCAGGTCATGATCCCAGGGTCCTGGGATCGAGCCTGACATCAGGCTCCCTGCTCAGTGGGAAGTCTGCTTCTCCCTCTCCCTCTGTGCGTGCACGCTCTCTCTCAAATAAAATAAATAAATAAATCTTTTTTTTTAAAAAATGAATGGTGCATTTTGAAGCTGGTGGGACCCTATTTGATAAAAATTTAATGCTGACTTACTAAGATACCTTGATTCAAATATTTAGTTGGTATGCTAGTGGAAAAGGAGACCAAAGTAAGGCTCTTTGGAATAATTGGATCTAATCATAGTTTTTCAAGGATCAAATAAGACATGAACCTGCAAGTACTTTGCAAATAGTCAATGGCTAAATAAATATAATAAGGCCGTGTTATGTTTGCGAGCCCTCACAGATGTGTTGCCCCATGAAAAATATGTGAAATCACACTGTCTACAGAAATACACTTACAATCTCTCCGTCTTTGCCTCCAAAATCTAAGTACAGCATCCTGATTCCATCATCTGAGGACATTTTCAGCTTTTCATAGGGAGACTGTATGATTGTCTTGGGAAAGGCACCCTCCTGTGGTTCAGTGGTAATAGAAAATCCATTCTCATAATGTATGGTCAGGCGGCACTCCTGGTTTTTGTAGGTGCAAGCTGAGGGGAGAGAGGAGAGAGCACAGTATCAACAGCAAGCTCATCCATTCTCCCGGGCACTTACCTTGCAAGCCTCCTCAGTCCCAGGGCCAGCCACACGTTTCTTCTCAAGTGGAAAACTAGTCATTGCTCATGAAAATATTCTCCTTGGACTGATTTTGATGTTGTAATTTAACTTGTCCCATGAAACCAAGGGAGATAAGCTGAAAGAATTCCTTTTGCCGGGATTTACTGAATTTTATCTGGGCTCCAGCCCTTATCTGACCCTCTGACAGCACATAGGTAGATGGGCGTACTTGCCTTCCACTGGCCTTGTCTCAGGGGTCGGGGGGGAAAAAGCTGACATTTGATGGAGGGTAAGCTAGCTCTGAGCTGTCATCGTCATCACGCATGCATGCACGCACACACGCACACACCCCATTGTGTCATGCCCACCACCTGGTGAAAGGAGTGAGCATTCCTCCATTCCATTACCGATGTTAACAAGTGTAACACACCTAAGAAGTCGGGAGTAAGTCGCTTAAAAATAATCCCACTTTTAGTTTTTAAAAAGTCAAACTAAGCTCATTTTATAAATAGAAATGAGTGTTTTAAAACTTTCCCAGGCGATCTGATGATCGTTGGGTCCTGGGGAAGCTGGGTTGCAGAGAGATCTCAGAGGTGGCTCCTTCCATGGAGAAGGTTGTTTCCTGTCTCTGCCCAGTGTGACACTCAGGAACCGTGCAGGCGGTGGTCACAAGGGACCCTCCGATCCAAAGGAACAAAACTAAAACCTCTTGATCAGGACAGCTTTTATGTGTGGTCCTCACTGCATTTAGGAAAACGTTATCAGTACTCGAAGCGTATGAGCTGGATGGGGGACTGCCCCAGAATCCTAGTTCCTATTTAGGAAGACTTGTGAAGGTTCAAACCTTTGATCAAAGAGTTCTGAAAAAGGTTATTAAGTATCAGATTGGATTTTTTGCCTCACAGAACTCCACATTTAACAGATCCCGGCAAGTAAACTGGCTCAGACCTTCACAGACATCTGAAAGCTCTTTAGGGAAACCAGGACATTTTCCTGGCTGGGGATGGGGTTTGGAAGGGGTAAGAGTCAGGGCATTATGACTGCGCGGAACCATCCTTAGCTCAGCTCAGCTTTATAAGCCAACTGAACTTCACCTTCCCACAAACTTCTGAAGCAGGACCTAAGCTTAATATGACAGGTGAAAAAAAGCAAAGCTCAGACCGATGAAATCTGTCACAACTGAGGTGGCTTAGAATTCAAAATTCAAGTTCTTTGCACTCGGTGCCATGTATCCTTCTCATACTCTGGCAGTCAGGATACAGAGGGATGTGGCGAGGGACCTTGGCAAAGAGAGTAGTAACTGTATGGCTGGGGGGCCTTCAAGGTTTGGGGGAAAGAAACAGGGGACTCTATCGGCTCACAGAATGAGGCGGCTTTTAATTGAAGCTCTGGTGAAAAGTGTACCCCTTCCTCCGACTTCCCACAGGCATCTTTCAATTTGTAACTAAGGGTTGGTATTTCCCAAAGGTGCACTACACTCTCTAATAGATTTCTGAGTCCTTCTGAGCTACAGCCCCTCCGTAAATCTCATCTTCTCCGAAGGTCTGCAGACCCCTGCCACCCCCGCAGTCCTGGGATGGCCAAAGACAGTGGCATGGGTGTAGGTATGGCTTCCCATCTTGAATCCTTATTTTTGACACTCCCTACTTCTATTACCTGCAGAATAAGTGGGCAAATGAGCTCTAACCATGTTTTTCTTTTTTCTTCGTCTATATTTGAACTTTCAAGCTACGCCCTCACATATTCAGAATCAACTGATTGTGGTTACTTTCAATTCTAGTTGACCTCAGCTGGTGTTCACGGTCTTTATAGAATGGAACTGATTATCTGAAGATGTTCTCAATCCACACAGGACAAATCGAACACATTAGCAAGTTAATTGAAGCGCTGATTAAAACATAAGCCCCGTTCCCCAACTCCCTGAAGGCATCTTTCAGTCTGTAACTGAGTTGCACCTGTGGTCATTCCAGAATTTCTTCTCTCCCGCCACCCGGCTAGCTCAGTGCACACAGTGCTTTGTTATTTCCTTTGGCTGGTCTACCAACAGCCCCATGGCTTTCCTATCCAAGTAGAGTTCAGCTTATTGAGAGAGGAAGATTTTACAAAATCTGTGGAATGTAAACTAAACCAAATCCCCTTGGCCTTTTCCATTCTTTCCTAGAACACTCCTGAATTTGTTGCAAGGAGCGTGAACTTCTCCAGCATTTACACATATCATCAGCTCATTAAGTCTAGTTTTCTGGTTTTCCGACTTTCAGGTCCAAAACTCTAGTTTTTCTTGCCAGACTCAGCATAAAAATAAGAGCTTCGGTGACACTCTCAAATGTTTCCAACGATGATGGGAAATGGTGGGGGGCACCAATCTGTTTCAGGGTAATTACAGAAAGACACTGATTTTGTTGGAGTTGCTGCAGCAGACATTCTACAAAACATCTGGTTTTTCATGTTTGCATAAGCAAAGGAAACGTGGAGAAACCCCACCACACGCTCATGTGTGTCCCATCTTTTCGACTACTCCTGGGTGGGAGTTGCTCCTGGGGGAGGTTGCTCCCTGGTGCAGTGCTGCTCCCAGAGGGCTCCATGGCCCAGCAGCATCCGCACCAACTGGGACGTTATCAGGTACAAATTCTTGCACCCCAACCCCAAACGGCTAAATCACAATCTCTGGGGGTGGAGGTCAGCAATCTGGGGCTTTTAGGGGTAAAACAAAAAGAACTTTACTTCTAATGTGGCTCGTGTGACTGAGGAATTCATTTAATTACATTACATTTAAATAGCCACACATGACCAGAAGCTAGCATACTGGACAGCACAGGTCTGAGGAAATAATGACAAGAGTAACAACTAATACTAACGCGTAGTGAGTGCTTACTTACATGTCAAGCACTGTGCTAGGAGCTTTACATGGATTATTTCTCTTCATTCTTGACAACTCTATGAGGTGGGTACTATTATTTCCTTCTTTTTTCCAGATGAAGAAAACAAGAGATGCAAGTAAGAGTAAGAGATTAAGGAAGAAATAGGAGGGCCGCTTGGGTGGCTCAGTCGGTTAAGCGTCTGCCTCAGGTCATGATCCCAGGGTCCTGGGATCGAGCCCCGCATCGGGCTCCCTGCTCAGTGGGGAGCCTGCTTCTTCTCTCTCTCTCTCTCTGTTTCTCATGAATAACTAAATAAAATCTTAAAAAGAAAGAAATAGGACTGGAATTTGAATCCAGGCCTTTCTGACTTAAATCCTACACTGTGGCTATTACTTTGTACTGGTTCCTCAGAGACAGAGAAATGAAACAACAGGGAAGAAAACATGATAGAAGAGGGTGAGCAGAGAGTATTCTAAGAAACAACCTGTGGGACTTAAAGGTGGATTTACCGGAAGACTGTTGTTGAGGATACCAGCTACTCTGTCACATACGGCCTCCTTGCGAGTGACGGCAGGAGACCTGGAAGAGGGGCTGGTCTTCGAACTCAGAACCAGAAACAATCTTGGATCTCAGAATCAGGAGCAATAGCATCATGAACACTGTTAACTGTACATTGTGCTGGCTGCTGAAAATCACTGGGTTCATATGGAATCCACCTTAGCAAATGTACAAGATTTTATTTTATTTTTTTAAAGATTTATTTATTTATTTTAGAGAGGTGGGCAGGGCCAGAGGGAGAGGGAGAGAGAACCTCAAGCAGACTCTGTGCTGAGCACGGAGCCCGATGTGGGGCTGGATTTCATGACCCCAAGATCATGACCTGAGCCAAAACCAAGAGTTGGATGCTTGACCAACTGGGCCACCCAGGTGTCCCAATGTACAAGATTTTACAGTATATACTTAGCTTATTCATTTTAGCTGAGATTCATATTAGTTTCTAGTCTCCAATTTTACCTTTGCCCAATTAAAAAATTAAATTATCTATATATTTACGTATAGATGCATTTATATCTATCTGTCATCTATCCATCACCTATCAATCATCTGATTTGGAGAGGGGCATGAAACTCATTTATCACAGCAGCCTGAACAGAATTGCTGGGTTTTGACCAGTGGTACAGCCGTGAGATCCATGTCTCAGTAGACACGAGAGTCAATGAAGAATGGTCTTTAGAATGACACAACATTGCGTTAAAATCAGTTCTGTCATTTATTAGTTGTGAGATCCTGGACAAGTTACTTATTCGGTAAAATCAGATTGGCAAGGGAATTGTGAGGATTAGGTAAGATAAGGCAATGATTTGCAACCGGGACACACACACACACCCCTGAATCCAAAGTTCCACAAATCTAAGCAATATTTACACTGATATGTGTATTCCATTTAATTTAATTTTTTAAATGTTAGTCTTGCCTCGACTCATTGACTTCTGGACCCACAGCAGGATTATTTCTCATAGTGTGGAAAACACTAAGAGACATTATATGAAATGCCTGGCACGTCATGAGTACACTCAATAAATAGGACAGTATAGAGGGTTCTTCCTTCTGCACACATGTAACCCATGTAAATAATCCATGTAAATCCCACTTCCCGCACTCACTAGTCCTTTCTTAGGGCTCTGCATGAACGGGGCTGCGCTCACCATGTGGTCCCTCCATCCTGCCTCGGCTTCAACATTCAGACCAGTGGCACCGGTGGCTCTTCCCAAGGCTCTGCCCTTTGCTGTTGGAAACCCCCACCCCCCCACCTGGATGCCTCTGTTTCCTGCTCTTTTTCACAAATCAGTGCCCCAGTTTCTGGATCAACTCCGTGAGCTACCAAAATTATTATTTCCAAGAATTTTATTCTGTGATAAATTACCCAGAGTCAGTCTCTATGTTTATAACAAGAACCTGCTGGTTGGTGCCTCAAAGCTCGTGCCTGCAGGAAGCCACCCTGGGGTCACAGTCAGGAAAACGACATCTGACTCCCCGAATTGCCAACTTTTCTTGAATGGAGATGGGAAAAGGCTTACATTTGAGTAGGGCATACAGTGCCCTAATTTGGAAGAATTTGAGTTCACTTCGGGAATTCCAAACAGCCCAGAAGGCCAATACTGGAAACTACATTGAGGCTGGGATGGAGCAGAGGGTGTGCTGGTGCTGGAGAGCCAGGGGTGCTCACCGGTAGTGACTTCGGTGACCAGTTCCGCCGAGTTGTGGCAGCCCTGCACGATGCTCCTCGTCCAGTGGGAGAGGTCCCTGCTGGTCTCGGCCCTGAACAGGTGTGTTTCAATCCCCTGCCTGGTGCCTGTTCGTGTCGCGAAGGACAGATCCACACCAGCCTTGGGCGATCCTTTGCCTGGACCTGAATGGACCAGCCTGTTGAGAGACAGAAAGAGAGAGAGAGACAGAAAATCATCAGACTGGAAACCACTGTGTTCCCCTGAATTGTGTCACCTGGTACAAAGCTCCCAAATTGGTGATTTGCTCTCAGTTTTCCACCCTAGAACCAAAGGGTCCGCTCTAGCACCAGCATTCACTGTGGTTTTTCTGCCTTCTGCTCAGCTAGTTCGTCCCCAGGGCTAGAGTGAGACTTAAAGGTGGCCGGGACTGTGTCTGGTGACAGGTGCAGAGTTGCATGACATGCCTTTAATGAGACAAATTCAACTATACTCACTCAGCCAAAAAGAGAATTGAGCAAGTGCAAAAGAGAACAATTTAAATAGTGTATCAACCCTTTCCTCTCCATTCCATTCCTGGACATGTGTATGTCCCAGGGTGAGCATGACACTGTTCCCTGCGTTCAACTGCATTCCCCCATGTTTCTTGTAGTTTGGAGCATCTGGCTGCACCAAATGTCCTTCTGGGTACGCGTCCGTCGAGCACACAGCCTCCCAGTGCAAGCAAACCACCAGGAGACTCAACGGAAGAAGCAGCAATCTGTGCCCTTGTGTTAAAGCCCAGGAAGAACTAGCCATGCCAGGCTTCCTGAGAACTGGAAGAGAATTGCACTTTATGGGAGATTTCAGGGATTTCCGAGAGTGATTGGTGTGAAGCACACGATGTTCACACTGGCTTTAAAACACATGCTCAGCATAAATGTGACTCCCATAGTACATATTTTCTAAAAGGCCAGACAGAAAAAATGAGGACTCTCAGATTCTGAGTGCTACTTTCTGAGCACACACAGGCTCCTACTTCTCACGTGTCCCCTTTAAACCCCTGGATCTCTCCTGTTCTCTCCTGCTCCTTGATACCTCAACCCCCATTGGGGAGAAATGCTCCTATCAATAATTTGCAGGAGAGCACGAGTATAATTTAGTAAATGTTACTTCTCCCTAGGATATTTGCATTTCCAGCCTTATCTTTTAATATAGAAAGAAATACTACCATTTGCTAGGGAAATGCCAGGTGTCTATTCACCTTGGTGCACGGGAGAGGTACTTTCTTAGGCAAAGGGCTTATTCCCTCCAGATTAAAAATTGCACAAAGGAAATCCAAAAGCTTATTCTCTCTCATAAGCTTAAATATTATAGAGCAAAATTACTGGTGAACTAAAACATCACACGCTGTTGAATTTCTAGCAACGAGCTTGTTGTATAACTGAAGAGCTTTCTTTTACCCACAAAGCTGGTATTGGCGGGAGGGGTGGTCCGCAATGTCGACTTGGAGAAAGAGTTTCGTTGAAAAACTTTTTGGGTGTAAAATTCTTTGAAGATAGAGAAGTTTCCAAGAGATAATGAATGTTTCCAAGAATGTGGAGAAAAGGGAACCCCTGCACACTTTTGGTCGGCATGTAAATTGGTGCAGCCATTATGGAAAAGAGTATGGAGGTTGCGCAAAAAATATTAAAACCAGAACTACCAGATCTACCAATTCCATCTCTGAGAATATGTCTGAAGGAAGCAAAATCAGTATCTCAAAGAGATATCTACAACCCCATGTTCTTTGCAGCACTATTCACAAAAGCCAAGATATAGAAACAACTTACATGTCCGTTGATGGATAAATGGATGAAGAAAATGTGGCACATGCACACACACATGCACACACACACACACACTGGAATGTTATTCAGCCTTAAAAAGGAAGGAAATCCTGCCATTTGCAACAACATGGATGAGCCTGGAGGGCATTATGGCTAAGTAAAATAAGCCAGGCAGAGAAAGACAATACTGGGTGTGGAATTTCAGATTCATATGTGGAATCTGAAAAAACTCAAACTCATAGAAACAGAGCAGAATGATGGTTGCCTGGGGCTAGAAGGTGGGAGAAATGGAGAGATGTTGGTCAAAGGGTAAAAACTTTTAAAACTTTTAGTTATAAGATGACTAAGTCCTGAGGATCTAATATACAGCGTGGTGACTATACTTAATAATACTGTTTTGTATACTTGAAATTTGCTAAGAGAGTAGATCTAAACATCCCCCCCAACACACACATGCCCAAAAAACTAACTAGGTGAGGTGATAGGTATATTAATTAACTTGATTGTGGTAACTCATTTCACAATATATATGTATATGAAATGATTATATTGTGCATTTTAAATTTTATCAATTATACCTCAATAAAAAATAATAATAAAAGAGGAGTTCCATGAATCTCATGGAGAGAAGAATCTGGGACAGTGTGCTGACCTGGGTTTAAATCTAGGTGAGGCTAAAGGAAAAATAAAGCATTTCTCAAAAGCCTGCCATGGGTTTTAAAGGGATTGAGGGTCAGGTAAAAAATCATTAAGATAAGGTACGTATAAAAAAACGAGAGTTTATATTGTTTTCTTAGTTGCTCAAAAATTGTTTTTATACTCGAGGGTGTTTACATTTTAGTTGCTTCAGGAAATACACCTAAGCTCTTCCTTTTTAAAATCTTAAAATCTGTATCAGTTGGGGCCGCCTGGCTGGCTCAGTCGGAAGAGCAGGTGACTCTTGATCTCAGGGTGGTGAGATCAAGCCTCACGTGGGGTGTAGAGATTAAATAATTGAAATAATCTACAAAATCTATGAAATAATAATATTAATAATATTGTAAACTGTCCACGTTCAGCACAGACCTAGCATACGGTTTGTACTAAATACCATTCCCATACCCTTTCTGTAGCCCTTAGTGCCGCTACCCTCGGATTCCTTATTTTAAAAATGCAATTGCTGCCTCCCATGCTTGGGATTCAATATAATAAGCTACCTAAAGCACTTCATCTAGTGCTTAGTGATCATAAGAAGCATTCCGTAAACACTAGTTCCCTTATGCTTTCCCTAGCCTGACATGTTCTCACTTTCCATCCCTAAGTTTCCACCAAAGGAACATCAACTCTGTCACAATCCAGGGCCAGTGGAAATGTAACACAGAGGTACAGGCGAAGGGAGAAAAAGAGGTACCATCCTCGTGGAGAATGTCCCTTGTTTGTGAATTTCCTATCAATATTAATTTTTCTCCAGAGAGACTATAAAATTGAAGCCAATAATAACCGGAAAATGCAATTTGTTGGCAAACTTGCAGTTGGCAGATCTGGGTATAGGGAATGAAATTATTAACCAAGTGTAACAAGGTGTGAGAAAGGCCTGGATCCAGCTGATGGATACAGGGCACAGGGAGTCCTTCATGGGGAAACTCGGGGAGTTACAAGTAACGATGAGAAAAGAGCCTTTGGAGGGAGGACTACTGCTGTACTTTGTTATTCGTCTCATCACCAAATTTCATTCATTGAACAGAAAAGAGAAGAGGAGAAATTGATTTTTCCACTAATCAAGCATGAATTATCTAGTATCTCTATTTTTTTTAAAGATTTTATTTATTTGAGAGAGAGAGAATGAGAGAGAGAGAGCACGAGAGGGAAGAGGGTCAGAGGGAGAAGCAGACTCCCCGCTCAGCAGGGAGCCCGATGCGGGACTCGATCCCGGGACTCCAGGATCATGACCTGAGCCGAAGGCAGTGGCTTAACCAACTGAGCCACCCAGGTGCCCTCTAGTATCTCTATTAAAGAACAAATTGATTAGCTCTCTGAAGAATAGCAGACATGCTGAACAATGCATTCTTTTGAATACACCAGTATGGGTTAATGAAACGTGCAAAGCTGTATGTACAAACAATCAGATAAAGCAAACTGTCTTGTCCACTACCTACTGTGCATAGTGGTAACAAAAATATACTCTTCCAGATTAAAATCGAGTGACCTACAGGGGCACCTGGGTGGCGCAGTTGGTTAAGCATCAGACTCTTGGTTTCAGCTCAGGTCCTGATCTCCCAGGGTCCTGGGGTCGAGCCCTGCGTCTGGCTCACCACTCAGCATGGTGTCTGCTTAGGTTTCTCTCTCCTTCTCCCTCTGCCCCGCCCCCCGCCATACTCCCCGCTCAAATAAATAAGTAAATCTTAAAAAAAAAAAAAATCAAGTAAACTACACCCAATATCCACACGATGCATATGGGTACACTCCTCTGGGTGGAGTATTACACAGACCTTGAAAATTATTTTATAAACACACATGGCAAATGTGAGGAAATGTATATAGATCTATTGAAACTCTCTAAGCATGCAATTCAACTATGTAAGAGAAAAACTTGGAAACAAATCCATTAAAATGTCGACTAATTTTATGGGTGATTTCATTTCTTCTAATCTTTTTTTATCTTAAAATTTTCCATTCCACTGAAAAATACCTACAATTCTGACTCAGCGTGTCACACGTGTTTTGTCTGTCGTCTGTTTCACATTAGTGTCAGGTCAGGGTTGGAATACCTGATGAGCTGCTCTGTGTCCCCTTACATGGGCTTCTGTCTGGGTTATTCTAAATCATCCTCGTCTAGCGCTTCAGACTTAACACCTGCAGTGGAATGGTCTTTCTCAACGTGAAGCTAACTGAGCCGTGTGGGATGAAACCTACATCTGTGGCCTCATTAATCCCTTACAGGAACCAACTGGCCTCCAGCAAATGAGACAGAAGAGATGCTGAGACCTGCCAGTTGAAGTTACAGAACACTTTTGGATTTTCGGGGGTGCTATGAGGGGCCTCAGGGGAGCTTCCTGCTCCGTTCAAGTCTTCTCTCTACCTTCAAATGACCACCAAAAAAGTCACTAAGTCACTCATTCATTCAATCAATCAGTAAAGATTTTGCCATTCGCTAACTGATACATCATACCAACATTTATGGAACACTGTTATGGACTGAACTGTGTCCCCCTAAAATTCATAGGTTGAAGCCCTGACCCCAAGTGTTGATTTTATTTGGAAATAGGGCCTATAATGAGCTAATAAAGTTTAAGTGAAGACATAAGGGTAGGGCCTCAACCAAAAGGAGGGTGCCCTCACGAGAAAAGAGATGCCAAAGATCTCTCTCCCTCCAACACACACAGTGGAAAGGCCAGGTGAGGACAGAGCAAGA